CACAGGAGACATCTTTATGCCCTGTGAACAGATGAGTTGTGTATTCAGGCTGAAGACATGTGTTTTGGATCGGCTTTTATTTCGTTGTGCCGAGTGGCCGTCCCTGAGAGAACCGATGTTGGGAAACACGCGGCGTTGGAAGCGGATGCTTCATTTATGTCTCGCAGACGAGTCAGCACATACAGTTCTGCTCATTCACACGCATGGACTTCTTGAGTTAGACTTAAGTTAGACATGTTAGTTTGAGTTAGACATGTGTCCGTACGCATGCGCGTACGGACACATGCGCAGATGCCACATATGGCTCATTTACACCCTCTCTAACCAAACACTGACGCACAATAAATACACAGTGTGGCTTAATGCGAAGGCCATGCTGCATGTGGTGTGTCAGCATGAATCGGTGTGTCCCATTCTTTCTGTGTTGAATGTGTAATGAGGTGGCAGAAGCCTCCATTCAGCAATTCAGCATTTATGAATTATTGACTTCGGAGAGACGAGACCTTAATGTAACTCCTTCATGAAATAACTCTCCATCCTTCACTTCCTCCTCAGCTCCTCTCTCCACGGTCCTTCCCGCAGCTTCACACGCAAAGCAGATGGTCCGAGCTGAGAGTCAGAAAGCCAGCAACACCCCTGCTTTTGCTAAACATGTATACGCTTTTGTTTTGTGCGTTACGTTTTGTATGTTTATTCCACAAATGTGGGTGTAGTTTCTATCCTTATAAACACAATGAGAAGGAAAGAACCACAAGCAATCAGATGATAAGAGTCACAAAATTATTATTCAAAATGATTTTTTTTTTGCAAATTAAAAAATGATTTTTGGATGAAACCAAATAGGTATATTTAATATAATTTAATAAAATTTAAATTTAATAGGTAATAGGGGATAGCTCGGTTAATATTTCTTGGATGTTTTGGCTGCTCGCTGAAGGCAATTTGTTTTCCAGGCACTGTAATATTGTTTAATTTTTCCTTTACAGTCTTGGTTTTCTTTCTTTTTTTTTCTTTTATAAAGGCTGAAAAGGTGAAAGTGCAAAGTACTGCAGTCAAATTAAAAAACAGATAAGAATCCAAACTTTGCTTCAGCACCACAGATACAGTGATGAGAGAAATGATCTACTGACAATATTGAAAGAAAAATAAGAGTTTGTCAGGAAAATCTTCATCTTGTTGCTTCATTACTTTTGATGAAACATCTGAAGTGCATTGCTATTTCTATTGTTTTTTCCCTGTCCATATTCGGTCCCACGCTCCCGTCACGTATCTGCAGTAATGGAACTTTAACATGGTTCCCAACCATCAAGGAAAAAGGAGCTCTCCTATGCAAAGTTACTGGGAAATTAAAAAGTTTGCGAGGTCTAAAGTTTGAGGATCATTTCAGTTGTGGCTTGCTTTGTGTTTTCACTCCTAATGAAGAGGTTGCTGTAATTTGGCTACACAGTTGTGGGAAAATCCAACTGTTTGTGTTTTCTGTTTCTCTTTCTCAGTATGTTATGGCCATAACAGATCTCAGATATTAAACTCCTGAGCGCATTATTCACATAAAATATAAAAGCAGTAACTAAAAGTAAAAAATAAACGGAAGTTATGGAGCATAAACAGATTTTAAACTTTTTTGCGCCCTCAAAGCGGTGCTTCAGAGTGTTTAAAAAAATACAACTTCAATATAAACACACCACACAATACTCACAGCGAGTTGAGAGAGCGCAGACCTTGGAAGGCATCCGAGGCCAGCTCTGATATCTGGTTGTTACTCAAGTCTCTGTGAAAAACAAAAGGAGAAGGGAACAAGAAGCAGAAGCATAAAACCAGAGAGTCAGTGAGGAAGCATAGCACGGAGGTCAACACAAACTGGAAAGTGGCCGGCAACAAAAGTTTTGTGGATGGTTGAAGGGTGCAGAATACACGCATCTCCTCATCTACTCACATCCTGCGCAGCTTCTTATAAGGAGAAAAGGCCCCAGCTGGTATCACCTTGATGGCGTTCTGCTCCAGTCGTCTGGAACCAAACATACACACAGACAATTGAGACGCGGCATTAACATTCCCCTATCACAGAGCTATCTCTGCTCCATTGTTGGCTGCTGCTCTTTCCCCGGGGGCTATGGTTAAGGGGAAACTTTTCCAGATAAGTCCCTTTAACAGGCCCTGCCAAAGTCTGCCACATTTCTCTGATCTTTTGCCCTCTTTAACATCTGCACAGTCAGACGGACACACAAAAACACAGCTGTAACATCTGGGAAGTGTTCCATTAGGTCTGACTGTGCATCGATCTGACCATGCCATTAGAGTGAAAAGACATGGAAAAAAAGAAACAAGTGTTTATTCACTGTGACAGCAAATTAAACAAAAACAACAGCTTCATTGTGAAAAATTCTCTCGCTTTCTAAACTTTTCACTGCTGACATTTTTGACTGGTTGTGCATACGAACCATAATGTGCCTGTTCTATAGTGGTTTCAGCTGTTTTGAGTCTGAAGTGAAAAGAAACGAGTCCTTTTTAAGCCTAAAATCAATCAGGACAAGGCCAAGTCAAGTTGATGCTCCGCTATGTTAAGTCCAAATAAAATCTAAAATCGATAAGGAAGTTAATGAAGTCTGAAGTCTTGTAGGTCTTACATAAGGTTTCAAGCCATTTGAAAGAGTTCCAGGTCTTAACTAAGTAAATAGAAGTCCAAATTATGCCCCAAATCTTCCTGTAGCATTGAAAAAGTCTTAAGTTAAAGGAGACAAATAGAACTTTTATCCAATTCAGTGAAGCTGGGTCAGGTCGCCATTCTGCTCTAGGATGGCACAAATCCCAGAGATGTTAAAAACATAAGGCTAAATTTAATCTTGAGTCTTGAAAAACACGTCTTTTAACAGTTAAATTAAACGGGGATCTTTGTTCTTATCACAGCAAGTAATGGGTCTCAAAATCAGTGAAGTGACTTTGAGAGTGAGAAGTCCAAGTTAGGCTTCATGTCTTCATAGGCATGGTAACCAAAGCTTTACCTTCAAAATAAAGCAGATATTGTTTTTAAAAATGAGAAATACAAAATGTTTTCAATGGTTTTAATGGCAGAGCTGGAATGCCATCTGAGAACTCATGTTTCATTTGCTCTGGTTGGACGTGACTGCCATGTCTCAGTCCCGGTCACAAATCTTTATTTAATATAGGGGGCGATCTGATGCAGTGACAGACGTGTGGAGACGTTATGGTCTGTTTGTACTTTTACAGCACTCAGCACTTTGTTCTCCACCTGCACCATGCATGTCGATCAGTGGTATACTTCACTGCCGTTCGCTGTCACATTAGTCGTTCACCTTGCACTTCTTTCGTCTCTTGACACTGCAGTTTACTAAATTTTCACTGACATTCAGATCTCTGGTCACCACATCGCTGCCAGTGGCCGTGGTCTAAAGGGAGTCCTGTCCCTTTAGAGCCTCTGCAGTGCCAACAGATCTAATAACCAGTCTCAAGACTGTCAGCCCTTCAGCTTAGCCCAGCTGTTGGGAAGAGAGAAGTCTAATAGACAAAGACTGTCTTTATAATGAAGTGCTTTTGCAGTGCAATTGTTAAAAACTGTCGACTGCGATAAATTGTCTTCTCATGAGTGCTTTATCACATTTAAAGATTGTGTTGTGCTCTTTCTCTTTGTTGGGAAACAAAGAGAAAGAGCAGCAGTGTGATGTCCATTTAAGTCTGACTCAAGAAGTCCAAATCTCAAATCTTAAATCAACGTCTTATTTTTTGGGACTTTGTTAAATCTGCTGGCTCTTCTCCTTCCACTTTTCTCCGATTGTCACTTACAGATAGCGATATGATCCACCTCGTCTCTCAGATTAATCTTTCAATTGTTCTTCTTTTGTCATTCCTTTATTATTTTCTTAAGCAGGAAGGAGCTGCATGACCAGGCTTTCTCATTTCACAGATGTGTGATTTTATTTCGCCACACAAAGAGAAGTAGTGAAACAGAAAGGTGGAAAGAGACAAAGAGGGAAAATGGAAAGACGCAGAGTGAAAGAGCAGGACAAATATCACTGCTCTGAGTGTGGATGTGTGAGTTCTGTGTGTGTAAGAAAAGCGGTTTGAAGTAAACGTGTTTACTTGGATCACAGGTCTTACATCTCGGTGATGGTTTCGGGCAGGTTGGTGGGTATTTCTGTGAGACCCTTCCCTCTACAGTCCACAATGTTGTTACTGCAGGTGCACGACTCCGGACACTGTAACACACTGCAGGAGGAAGATGATGACGACTGGTGACCTACACAGAGACAGAGGGCCAATATTATCCACGGATAACAGATTATGCTTTGAGTAAATCCCAAAGGCAAAGAAAAAAGAAATCTGCAGCACGGCTAGAGCAACTGTGCAAGTGAGGGAAATATCCTGTCCTTAGATGTGACCTTGCCTATCTACAACTGTTTTCTATTCTCGTGTTGCACAGAACATCAGATCGATGATATATATTTTAGGAAATGCAGCACATAGAGTTAAAGACAAGCCACTTACCTTCATCCCAGTCTTTAAAAATCATGAGCAAAAAGGTAATGAGAGAAAGCAGACGAGACAAAGCAAAAGATGGGTTTGCCACTGCGAAACAGCGAGCCGAGGGAAGTCACAAAACAGACAGCAAAGCAAACCGGTGAACCCGACCTACCTGTGCACACAAACTCCTTCTTCTGCACCTCGGCCACGTTGTGCCCCCTCAAGTGCGGAGGGGCCATGCATTGCGTGTAAAGACCCAGCCGGGGGCGCTGTCGCAGCCACTCTGACAGCCAGGCTACGTGGCAGTCACACTGCAGGTTGTTGGAGTGCAGGCGGCTGAGGGACAGAGGAGGAGATGGGCCAGACAAGAACAGGTGGGGGGAAGGAGAGAAATAAGAGGTGTGATGACAGGGGAGGCAGGAGCAGGTTGGGTGGAGGGAAGAGAGAGAGAGTTGCAAGTACGCATCAATCAATCTGTTACACAAATGGACACGGATGGGAAGAATCCTTCCCCTCAGGGCAGCGAGGTGTACCAAATACACGGAGATGCCACTTACAAGGTCCTGAGCTTTGGCATGTGGTTGAAACTGGCCACAGACAGTCGGCTGATGTTGTTATTGTTCAGGGTGCTAAAGAAGAAAGTGAACACACAGCATATTACAGATATGCAGAAAGTCTGTCCCGCAGTATTTTACTGTTACCGTGAAAGAGGCTGCAGTGTCATACAGTGCATTTGTAATGTAACACAAAAACAATCAAAATACAACTCTTTTATATTATTGTGTTCAAAGCACTACGTTGTTAGCTTCTAATTAGCTCTGTAATAAATCACATTTAATCGAAAGCTACTGAGCCTTTAATCTTGCTTTTTTTTTCTTTCTTTTTTTCTTTTTAGACATCGGCTTAACACATAATCCATTTATTCGCTCCCAGAATGCTCAGACTACAGAAAATCTTTTGAATCATTAGAAATTAGATACAAATAGATGGTAGAGTTTATTTGCCTGATTGAACGATCATACCTTTGCACGTTTGCTTACAGCTCTGATTTTGGCCGGGCTATAAAGTGCCCACTTAAGGTACTGACTGACTTTGAAATCAAAGCAAAATGAATATTACAGGCATTAATAAGTCGAAAAGCACTTCAGGACAACAAAAGTGTCAATTCTGTGTGCCTAATGGCCCCATTAACAAATTATGTGAAGAGTAGGGGCACTTTTATTTCAAGACACGTCAGGACTGCATGTCATCTTACAAATGAAAAAATCCTGGATGCCCTGCACGTGAAAGAACATACTATTCTTAGAAAGATCCTTAATGTGACACAGAAAATACTGTTAAAGATGTTTTGGTTAATGATAGAGAAGCACAATCGCTAGCCAATACAGCAAAAATCTAAAACCTCAGCGGCACCTCAGCTGTTCCCTCTCTCTCCTCAAGATGTTGGTGAACAAAGAAAACTGTTGTGCTTTAACTTTATTTCAGAAACAATCCCCAACAACAATTGCATATTCTCTGCTTTTTATATTTGCCTTTCCTATTTCGTTTCCTGAACCCCTGCTTCAAGCACCCTCTACAATGACAGCATTACCACAGAACTAGGCGTTAGTGCCACTGCTCAAAATATACCAATTCATTCCTTTTGGGGAGCTGCATAGGCAATGCAGTCTTTGAAAGGTCAACAAGGAAATTAGCTGTTCTATATTGTACTGCTGTTAGTGCTCACCAAACCCTCTGCTTTTTGCAGGTACTCACAGTACTTCCAGGTCACGTAGCGCTCTGAAAGCTCCATCTTCAATACAGCTGATGTGGTTGTAGTCCAACTGGCTGCATACACACATGTACACACACGGAATTAAAAGAAAGGGGAAACTGAAGACATCAAGGTGTTTAAAAGGTATATCTTAAGGCTTCGGCTGGCTCCAGGTGAAAACACCTCAACTTCCTCCAACTCAACTCCTTAGTAACCTCTCTCTGTCTCACCCTCACCTTCTCTCTGTTTTTTAAAAAAAGTTTGGTCTCCTGGTATCTTTGTTCTTCGTAGCTGCATTTCTGAATGCATTTATCTGTGTGTTCATTCCTGTTTCCTGCTCTCTTCTGACATCTAGTTTGTATGCGCTGCTCTATACCTCGTCCCTCTTCCTCCCTCTCCCCGACTCTTTCTCAAAGTCGGTTTGCTGAAACAATTTAATTAAGACATAAGGACAGTAAATCATGCTGTCATCCGCACTCTAATGCACGCACGCACGCAC